CATCCAGACGAATCAAATCACTAATACGGAATCAGAGCTATTTGAGATTCTAAATATTTGATTCAGATTCGTTTTAGATAAAGAAGTCTACACACATTTCCTGTGATTTCTTCAGCGTTGTCTGTGCCAATACATGTTTGAAATATTATTATTTTTGGCACGCTCGTCTGTTATTGTGGTATTTGCATTGTCAAATTTATACAAACCCGTCCCTAAATGGCACGTTAAAACATTTGGTCACTTTACGTCAGTCAGACGGTCTGTTAAGTAGGTAGACCAGAGTTCAAGGTGCAAGTCAAAAGTGTACACAAGACTAGTTACTTCTCAGCACTGCTGTGTGTGTTCATGTACAGGAGAGAGATTGACACCAGGGACTGGACCAGTGTGTAGCCTTCTGTGAATTAGCTGTGATTACAGACCTGGCGGACACCTCTCTCTCTGTGTGTGTGTGTGTGTGTGTTTCTGAGAGCTGGTGGGCTGTGGGACACTCATAAAGAAGGCATCCACTCTTATTGGAGCCTGTCAGTCTGTGTGTCTGTCAATAGGATGATTAATACAGCCAAGAGACAAGCGTGAGCGCTCAGAGCCACACTCTCTCCGCTAGTATACAGACTGCCAATCAAATACCATAAAGACAGAGAGGAAATGAGGAAAGAGAGGGAGGACATCCCCTCAGTCCCGGCACCGGGGCGCTCAGATTGTCCAGAGGGTCAGTGGTTGTGGGGTAAAGTGTGCCATACCTGTGTCTCTCTCGACCACTGTGACAGTTTGAGCTCCTTGCAGTCACATAAATGTCTGAGCATGCTGTCACACTTTTTGACCATGTGAGTTGGTGTAATTGGTGTTTGTGTGTGTATACGTGTTTGTGTGTGCGCGTTCACATGTGTTTTGGCTTGTGTAGGAGACAGTTTTCTCTACAATTAACATAAGAACGATAGTTTTCCATTGTTATTGTATTTATTCTACTTTTAAAGGTAGTAAAGAGTAGGGCTGTCACACGATTAATCGCGATTAATCGCATCCAAAATAAAAGTTAGTGTTTACATAATATATGTGGGTGCACTGTGTATAATTATTTTATATATATATATATATATAAATACACACACATGCTTGTATGAAATATTTTTCATGTATATAGATTTATATATAATTTATATTATATATAAATATTTTATATATAAATCATTTTTTTCTTAAATATACATGCATGTGTGTATATTTATATATATACATCACAAAATAATTATACACAGTGCACCCACATATATTATGTAAACACAAACTTTAATTTTGGATGCGATTAATCGCGATTAATCGTTTGACAGCCCTAGTAAAGAGTACTAGTCAGAACAAGCTGGTTAGGGTGGTTTGTTTTAAGATATAAGTCAATCTAAACCAATATAAGACTAATTTTAGACCAGATAAGACCAGCAAAAAACATTTTAGATTGGTTTGGGGATTAAAAAAAATGTATTTAAAGGAAAATAGTTGTCTATTTGCATTAACCACCACAGTTAATACGCAAATTAAATATATAAATACTGTATGCGGAACAATTTTGGACTGAAATTGTGAATGTATTCATTTATATGGTTTATGGTTTGTCATTTAAAAAAAGTATCTCATTTGATAAAAGATATAGTAAAAACAGTAATATTATGACAAACAAAAAAAAAGCTGTTTCTATTTGAATATATTTTAAAAAATGTATTTATTCCTGAATTTTCAGCATCATTACTCCAGTCTTCAGTGTCACATGATCCTTCAGAAATCATTCTAATATGATGATTTGCTGCTCAAGAAACATTTCTGATTATTATCAATGTAAAAAACAATTGTGGTGCTTCATATTTTTTCAAGATGGTCTAAGACCTCTCTAAAACCAGGCGATGAGTGTTACAAAAGCCATATAAATGTGCATTGTATTGCGCATTCTAAGGTTTAAGGTTCACTAGATGTGCATCAGAAAGAACAGGGACACTCAGTTATCCACATGGGCATGCAAAGTCACAGAAAACTGAGTGTTACAGAGAGAGAATGTGTCTTGAGGCGAGTATCTGTGTTTGGGAAGCTGTGATTCGCGTATTACAGAACACAAGTTGTGTTCACAGCGCAGAGAGAGAACAGCCGTATTCCCACTGAGACTGATTAACCCAGGCCTGTCAGTGTGTGAGGGGGAGATGACGGGGGTCTCGCCGGGCCGTATTTCTCCTGAACGAGGTGAAGGGCCACCGGCGATCACAGCGCACCAGCTTCACCAGCCACAGGAAGCACACAGCTTGGCACGCTATATGCCACTCTGAACAACATTTAATGCTGCTTCTCTTATAGATCCGGTTGTACACACAGGCTATTTCACACTGTAAAAATGAATATGACTGAATAGTGTATGTTAAATCTAATCAATAAAATTGAGGCAACAGATTACAAACAATATTATTAATTAAATTTAACAAATTAAAATTGAGTAATACCATAACTAATCAAATGAATTACTTAAAAGATAACCATTTAAAATGAGTAGAATTTACACATTTTAAAAAAAACAAAAATATCAGAAAAACAGACTAACATCAAAGATGAATTAAGAACTCTTTTTTTTATTGCCAACACTGAAGACACCTGATGATAACAAGCAGAATCACTGAAGGAGAAAAACATATTTTATGTCACCATTATGGAGATCAGTGTGTGTTTTAGTTGGGCCAATTCTTAATTCATCTTTGACGTGAGTCTGTTTTTCCGATTTGTTTTTGTTTCTACTCATTTTAAATGGTTAACATTTAAGTAATTCATATGGTTAGTTCTTATTCAATTCTAATTTGTTAAATTTAATTACTAATATTGATTGTAATCTGCTGCCTCAATTTTATTGATTAGATTTAACATATTCAGTCATATTCATTTTTACAGTGCAGTGCCTCCACCAGCAACACTCATAATTTCATTTTCATTTCAAGTCTTGATAATAATTACGACCTTTTTCTAATAATTTGGGCTTTTTTAATCTCATAATGACTTAATTTCAACTTTATGTCATAATTATGATATAAAAAAACGTGTTTTAGAATGATTTCTGAAGGATCATGTGACACTTAAGGCTGAAACTTCAGCTTTGATCACAGGAATAAATTACATTTTCAAATACAGTATACAAACTAGAACAATACTATTTCATAATATTACTGTATATTTGATTCTTGGTGAGAAACTTCTCTAAACAACAGTAAAAAAAAGAACTTAACATTTTTAACATGTTGATTTTTGGGGGAAATTGAATTTAAAGGGATAGTTGACTTCAAAAAAATCATAATTTACTTCCTAGTGTTGTTCTAAAGCCAGATATCCTTCTTTTTTATGGACCACAAAAGGAGAATTAAAAAAAGAAGAAATTCCCGGCCTGTCCATATAATGGCAATGAATAGCGACCAGCATCAAGCTTTTTTAAAAAGACGCAAAAGTATCACCGAATGATTGCGTGCCTTATATCCCAAGTCTTCTTAGGGTATACATTAGGCTTTGGTGGAAAAAAGTAATGTACTATTTAACGAAAATCTTGACCTTGGCTATCGATTGCCCATTCGTGAGACTCTATAAGTTCACATCGTCTTTCCCAGAAAAAGCACATAAGAAATCAAGACTAGACCCAACATGAAATACAATCTGTTGTGTTTGTCGTGACAAGAAGTTATTGTGTTCACATCTGTCACCTGTCATCAGACAAACAGAGTTCCGGTAAAGCGATATTCAACTCAGTGGAGAAAGTACTCAAATACTTTTTAGGGATTTCATGTTGTGTGTTTTTTTTTAATCTTGATTTCTCACAACTTGTGTGCTTTTTCTTGATGATTTGGAGTGAACTGCAATGCTAATAGAGTCTCATGTGCACACATGTCGTGGTGTAGCCGTGCACCGAAGACCAACAGCCAAGGTTAAGAGTTTCATTAAATAATACATTTAATTTCAGCTTGTTTTTCACATATGTGTCGCTTATGATCATTTTCTGATACTTTTGCATTTTTTTTTTTTTTTTTAAACTTGATGCTGGTCGCTATTTATTGGCATTATATGTACAAGCGGGACATTTAAAAAAAAAAAAAATGTACTTGTGGTCCATAAAAGAAAGAAGGGCATATGGCAATAGAACAACACCAGGGTGGGTAAATGATGATTACATTTTCATTTTAGGAAGAACTATCCCTTTAAATAGGCATATGGTACTGCTTTCATGTACAAATGCCATTCAGCAAGGTTTGTAACAGGCCTGATACTCGCAGGGACAGAGTGACCTTCACGGAAACCCAAGCCCTTCCAAGGTCCGACCGCCATACAGAGTAAAAAAGCTTTCGACCCTAAAATAGCCCTGTGTGTCAGCACAACCGAAGCATCCTCGCTGGATGCCCGCGACTGTGATCCACTCCAGCAGCGACAGGACTTGCAAGAAAAAACCATCAAATACGACGTAAAGCAGTTACAGAATACCCTGAGAGCTGTTGTGAAGACACCGCCGGTTTAAGAGAGATGAAAAGAAGAAACCCTGTGGTGTCTTTAAGCCTAAAACCCACATACAGAGACATATGGAGTCCCTGAAGTAAAACTCAAACGGGAAAAGGGCCCAGTTTAGGAGGGAGAGACTTTTACAGCGACTCACACCAATGGATCTTCATTAGAAATGATCCTGTCCATCAGTGGCATTTAAAATCAACTCACCGGACCAGCCCAGGCCAAATCCCACCCCCATTTACCTTAATTATTTATATGTTTATATGGCTGATTTTGGCTTTTCGACGCTCCCCAGCGTGTGCTTGCGAAAGGGGCGTATTTGTCTACTTCTGCGCTCGCTGTGGTTCTAAAAGCGGTCTGCAATGTGTCAAAATTGTGTGCATGGTCTCCGGGGAGGTGTCCTCAGCATTTACTGCAACCAAAGATGTGTCTGAGCATTTATATGTGCATTCAATATGCTTTTGCAGGTGTCACATCATGCACGCTACACACACCTGCATATGGTTCTTCTCACCAAAGTCAAAGTCGAGTATGGAACATCTACAGGCTTTGTTGTGCATGTATATGCAAATGGATAAAGATCCTCCAGAGGCTGCAAATGACATCAAATGACATGAAATGAGCTTCTCAACTCAAAAATGTTTATTTAAAACCCACATTTTAACATTCCCATTGAAGCAGTGACACACTACTGATAGATTCAACTCCTGCAACACTTACTCAATGCCAATGGAGAAATAAATCGCGATGAACGTCATTTTCTGGATTTGGAAGGCCCGTTCATGTTCTTTCAAGGAGAGATGCTGCCCTCTACTGCTCGGGATCTGTCATGTGTTTTTGTCCATGCTCTCACAGTAATGCATGTAGTCTGTCTGGCAAATAAAGAGCAGAAAAAAACTGCACTCAAGCATTTGAATGATGGAAAAACAGGAACAAGTAAAAGAAAAGTGTCTAATAATTAAATCACTCATATAATAAATATAACTAATATTCATTGGGCAGTCTTAGCTTTTATTATTTATTTATTTATTGGAACAGAAAAATTTCCCCCAGTGATATTTGCCTCCCCCTAGTGGTGAGATATTGAAAGTGATGATGAGCAAGGCCGAATATTTGAATATTTTACAGAATATTTCATTCTGACATAAACTTCAGGTAAACTCAAGCTCACTCGCTTGTTTAATTAATTCCATTAAAGGCCAAGAAAGGATATGTTTGCATTGCATTGTCTTTTCTAACCTGCACAGTGTAATATCCACAACATTTGCAATTATGCACTGTGTAAGTAACAAGTAACAATTGAATAATATCAAATACTGAAATAATATTTTCACACATTTGTATTATTTGGACAGTGACAGTTTGATTAGAAATGAAACGTTTAAAAGTAAAATTGATAGCCTATGTTTCTGGTAAACAAACGATAGGAGTTAATCCTATTCCGCCACTAACTTAAAAAACAAACTGTATTAAAGGGTTAGTTCACCCCCAAAATTGTCAATATTTACTCACCCTCATGTCGTTCGACTTTCATTCTTCTTCGGATCATAAATGAAGATATTTTAATGAAATCTGAGAGCGTTCTGTCCCCCCATTGACAGCTACGTAACTGACGCTTTGAAGCCTCAAAAAGTTTATAAAGAGATTGTAAAACCAATCCATATGAATTGAGCGGTTTAGTACAATTTTCTGAAGATAATCGATCAGTTTATATAAAAACAGATTGAATTTAGGCTTTAAGTCACATAAACATTGATCATCGAACATGAACAAAAACTCTGGAAATAGGCCTTATGACGTGCAACCCCTTGGAGAAGCTTAAAGGAGTAGTTCACTTAAAAAAAAAAAAAAAAAAAAAAAAAAAACTTTTGCTGGTAATTTACTTACCCCCATGTCATCCAAGATGTTAATGTCTTTCTTTCTTCAGTCGAAAAAAAATTAAGGTTTTTGATGAAAACATTTCAGGATTTTTCTCCATATATTGCGCTTTAGCCTAACATTACTGGTATAACCAAACGGTTCAAGGTCCAAAAGACAGTTTCAGAAAGCATTTGGGACATTGTTTAATTTGTATAATCTTTACTCTTAATCTGGTGTTGTGCCACAGACCTAATCTAAAAATTAAGCAGGAAACAGAAATCTGATCGGTTATGTCCTGATTGGCTATCAGATTGGCTATCCAGTATCCGGCAGTCCTGTGGGCGAAAATGCCTTGTTGATGCTAGAGGTCAGAGGAGAATGGGCTGACTGATTCAAGCTGATAGAAAAGCAATTTTGACTGAAATAACCACTCGTTACAACCGAGGTATGCAGCAAAGCATTTGTGAAGCCACAACACGCATAACCTTGAGGCGGATATAGCAGAAGACCCCACCGGGTAACACTCATTTTCACTACAAATCGAAAAAAGAGGCTACAATTTGCAAGAGCTCACCAAAATTGGACAGTTGAAGACTGGAAAAATGTTGCCTGGCCTGATGAGTCTCGATTTCTGTTGAGACATTCAGATGGTAGAGTCAGAATTTGGCGTAAACAGAATGAGAACATGGATCCATCATGCCTTGTTACCACTGTGCAGGCCGGTGGTGGTGGTGTAATGGGGGGGGGGGGGTATTCTTGGCACATTTTAGACCCCTTAGTGCCAATTGGGCATCGTTTAAATGCCACAGCCTATCTGAGCATTATTTCTGACCATGTCCATCCCTTTATGGCCACCATGTCCCCATCCTCTGATGGCTACTTCCAGCAGGATAATGCACCAGGTCACAAAGCATGAATCATTTCAAATTGGTTTCTTGAACATGACAATGAGTTGACTGTACTAAAATGGCCCCCACAGTCACCAGATCTCAACCCAATAGAGCATCTTTGGGATGTGGTGGAACGGGAGCTTCGTGCCCTGGATGTTCATCCCACAAATCTCCATCAACTGCAAGATGATATCCTATCAATATGGGCCAACATTTCTAAAGAATGCTTTCAGCACTTTGTGGAATTGATGGCACATAGAATTAAGGCAGTTCTGGTGTTCCTAATAATCGAGTGTAAATGATTAACATGTTAACGGTTCCAATACCTTCATATAACAAAAAGAGAAAAAAAAAAGTTACGATTTGTTTGATAATTTGCACTGTGCACGGTATTACAGACAGAGTGTGCAGGGTGAATATTGACAGCCAGTCAATGTTCAATAATCTGCTTTCCAGAGAGCCGGTGGGTTGTATCGGATCCCTGACTGTTGCCACTGTTAATGGGCGCAATGAGAAAGTAATACCCCATGAGAGCCAAATGTCAGAGCCGCTTAGAGAAAGATGAGAGACAACAAATCAAAACTAAAAGGAATACAATGATGATTCTACTGGTCTTAACTGGGCTTTAACTCCCATCCAAAAGAGCACATGTGCAATGGATAGTCAAAGATCTAGACAGTTACACATGTGCTCCCACACAGGCTTTGCATATAGGTGCACTCCATGCGCTGTATTAGCTCTATTGACTTCTCTAATGGGAGCCAAAGGTCCCGTCCCACAGGAGTCTCCCACTAATGGCAAAGTATTGAGTGTTGTGGAAGAGGAAGCTTCTACTTCATAAGACAGGAGTAGAGCTAAAGCGCTTGAGCACTGTGACAGGATTTAAGCCTAAAGAAGGATTAGACCAGTTTATGACAAACAAGAACGATCTTTAATGAGGAGATCCAGTCACCTCTCAGGGGCTTATGATTCTCCACATCAGCTCTCTTAGGGTTTATCAGGACAGTCAACTTCTGCTGCAAAAAAGTCGATCGTCATGACTAAAACACTCTAAATTAACTTATATATTATATTATACTATATTATACTATATTATATTACATTATATTATATTATATTATATTATATTATATTATATTATATTATATTATATTATATTATATTATATTATACTATATTATATTATATTGTGAAACTGATAGTTCCCTTTCGATCGGTCATGTCCTATGTGCATGTATCCGTTCCCTCAGACAAAGAGGGTTACGTACGTAACCAAGATGTTTTGGTCCTTGATTCTGATTGGTTAAGCCGAGTTTAAAGCCGTTGTAAAATACTCTACAAACATACACCTGTGACCTCTTTACATTACTTTTAATGTGCCACTCCATTGTTGTGTTGCTGGGATCCATATGTATTTCGGAAAAAGTAACTTTTTTTTAACGAAATACAAGTGTTTTGTATTTCATGGTTTTGTGTTTCTTGTTTTTATTTATTTAGACTTTTAGCTTGCATTTAGCCCTGATTCTGTTCCTGTTTCCTGTTCTGTGTGGCATTTTTGTAGTCATTGGCATAGATATGTCAGCCCGTTCTCATCCTTTAACGTCATATAGAACGCTATATGCAAAAACGGCGCTATACTACGCACATGGCACCCTTTATCGTTAATATAACACGCGAACCCAAGACGTTATAAATCCTTTAGCGTGAATATGACACGCACACCCTACCCCACACCTAAACTTAGCCCTCACAGCGCGTGTTATATTAACGATAACGGGTGCCATGTGCGTAGTATAGCGCCGTTTTTGCATATAGCGTTCTATATGACGTTAAAGGATGAGAATGCGTTGGATATGTATATAAAGGCTAGATGTGTTACAGCGGAGTTTCCATCGTCATCACCGGCGGCCATCTTGTCACAGACAAGCTGATGTAAGATGAGGCATGTCACAAAGCATGAACCATTTCAAATTGGTTTCTTGAACATGACAATGAGTTGACTGTACTAAAATGGCCCCCACAGTCACCAGATCTCAACCCAATAGAGCATCTTTGGGATGTGGTGGAATGGGAGCTTCATGCCCTGGATGTGCATCCCACAAATCTCCATCAACTGCAAGAGGCTATCCTATAAATATGGGTCAACATTTCTAAAAAATGCTTATAAGCAATATAAGCATTTAGCCATGTGAAGCCGTATTATTATATTAGCTGTGTAACACTCTACATAAACGATTCAGTTCATAGTTTACACTTTCTCTTTCCTTTCCCTCTTTTTATCTTTATTTTGGCTCTGATGGACGCTCAGTGCTCAGGTCACCGGCTCAGACAACAGGTGGACGATGACGATAACACAGTCATTCTATGAGGCAGTGCACAAAAGAAATGAGAGATGAGAACAACTGGGCAGAGAAGAGTGAAATACAGAGCAAAAGAAAGCAAGTCGGTGGGTCAGTCCGTCTCCAGCGTGTGTGTATCGCTGCGGTGCAGGACGCTGAGATGATTCAGGCAGTCAGTGGAGCCACGGTGAGCAGATAAGAGCAGGCCATTGTGTGTGTGAGGCAGAGGGACTACACACAGACCATGCCAAGACACGCTTCAGCGAGAACACCGCTTGTATGAGGGGGGCGAGAGACACTGGGATAACATGGAAGATTAGGCATGCTCTTTGTTTTGGTTCACTGAACGTTCGGGTTGCCAGTTTACAACTCAACTGTGGCTGGAGAAGTCCTAAAATGTACAGAACTGAATTATTTTCGGTCTTGCTCCGTGGGTGTTTCAAAAGTTTTTCTTCAAAATCATTATTTCTTTTCATGAAACTTACTTGTCTTGTTTGATATGAAGAGTTCAGATGCAAAAGCCTCCAAATGCCATTTGAAATTTTCTTCTAAAATGACCATTTTTATCAAGCTTGTATATTTAAGTTCAGTAATTTCACTTAAATGACAATTAATAGGTAATCTTCATTGCCGTTTAAGTGAAATTACTGAACTTAAATATACAAGCTTGATAAAAATGATCATTTTAGAAGAAAATTAGAGGCTTTTGCATCTGAACTCTTCATATATTGACAGTTTACATATTACAGTAATACATCAAAATATTATGGGGAGCATGGAAGCTTTGTGAATATGATCATTTTTTTTTTGTAAACTCTGTCAGGGAAAGGGTTAAGTGTGACTAAAATGTTCTTTTGGGCCGCTTTGTTCGCTGACACCAAACAGGAGGCATATGTTATGATCCCCAACTCGGGCCAGAATTAAAAAAAGGTGACTTTAGGAAGGATTTTGGGAACTTTGAAAAGGTGAAAGAAGGTTAATTGAGTTACAAATCTCTTCTTGTTCTCACCTGGCCTTTATGGAGGACAGACTCAAGGTGAGCTTGGGTTCTTCTTGTGTGCTCAGCGCTTTGAATGACTTTGTTTTGGTCAGTTTTTTCCATTTTTTCCCTGAGCTGGCAGGATTCTGACGAAGACCCCCCATTCGGCACGCCAGCCGTTTAAAGAGTGTTTACTCGCCACCATATGGCCGACGCAGCAACTTGCCCCACTCCTTAACATCAACAGTCAGTGATTAGCATGTTTGGGCTACCTGAAGAGAAGTGAGAGGAGAAGGACAGTGTGTGTGTGTGTGTGGGGTAATATTAATCATACTGTGCATCTGTGCGACCAGCGGAGGCATGGCAGGGTGCCATCCTGCTGCCCTCGTTTTCTGCTCGGGCGGCTGCGTAATGACTCGCCCTTTACCTCCACACCCTGTGCAATGATCACAGATAATCGCAGGCCATCAGATGTGACCGAAAAAAAGGCTGAAAATCCAAAAATAAGGACAACAAAGGCCAGAAAAATAAGGTGCAGGCAGGCTGTTGCTTCACTGTTATGTTTCTTCTGAAGGATAATTTGTCCTCTAGAGTTAAAGACCACCACTGATACACAGTAAAGTTTAATTAAGCTGTGTGATTAAGACTTTTGTTTTGTCTGTTTGTTG